TTAACTAGAGACCCAAAGTCTGGTGTCAGAGCGTGAGACGGCCCATCACTGATGCAGTGACCGTGCATGCGGCCTCTACGACCAGGCGGCCTCCGGTGGGGGACTCCAGATGCACAAAGGCTCTCTGAGGGGCTGCAGGAGCCACCCGATGGGAGGATACCCAGGGGACACTGAGACAGGAGATAGCTAGAGAAGGGCTAGGCAGACAGACAGGCGAGTCCTCTGGTAACAAAGTAGTGAACTCCTGGCAGGTCTCAGCCTCAGCGTCAGGTAAACAAGCTCCCTGCGAGTCTCTCAAGCTAGAGCTAAAGTCTTCACTGCTGGGATCAAAAAGCAACCAATTAGCTCACTATTAGGCCCCTACCTCCTGGTCCTTAATATGGACCAATCAAAACACCAGCAGCTCACAGCTAGTGCGAGCCAATCAGCTTGGACTTAGGGCTATATAAGCACCCGGTTTTCAACTCCAGAGGGGCAACTCCTTCAAGTCCCCTCCCACTGTGGGAGCTTCTCTGTCCTCTCAGAAAATCCTGCTTTCTCACTTTCCGGCTGTCCGTGTCCCTCATTCTTCCTGGGCATGAGACAAGAACCTCGACCCTGAAAAGCTGCGACCTGAAGAGCTGCAGGTCGTCAGAGCCGAAAAGCCGTGCACTCCAGAGGCTGGCTTGCCAGAGCCTAGCTGAGCCAGGAGAGTTGTGGGAAAAAGGCGAGCCTCCGAAGCCGAGACACCCAGGGGGCTAGGCTTGCCAACCCACTGAATCACAACACTCTCAGGGCTTGGCTTGCCAGCCCATTAGAGCTAACACTTCCGGGACTAGGCTTACCAGTTCCTTGATGACCCTCTCTGGGGCTTGGCTGGCCGATCCACTGAGCTGACACTCTTGAAGCCCAGGCTGACCTGAAAAATCTGCATCAACATTGGGGGTTTGGGGCTGAGTACCCAGGAAACGTTGGGGATTTGGAGCTGAGTGGTGTCCTCTGCAGCAGGGAAGCTTGTTCTTCCCAGGTCACAGTCAGCTTTGGCCCAGACACCCAAGCACGGGTGCCGAGCTGCCCTCCTGAGCTGGATGGGATCTGAACCATGTGGCCACAGGTGGACATGGAACCCTTGGGAGCAGCCAGCAGTGCCTGGAGGCCCTGGTGATGTGCATCTGTGACACGTTCACCACCCTCTACCCACAGGCTCCTGGGACCTTCTGGGGTGTCCCCAGTACCAGGGTCTGGGGAGGGGGAAACCCCAGCTTGGGTTCAGATTGACTGCAGTCTAATACCAGATGGGAGTGGCTTGTTGCCCAGCAGGAAGATGACCTTGACTGGGGAGAACATTAGGCAGCAAACCCCATTGTCTGTGTGGAGAGCGGGAAGGGGCCCTGGGCCACATGACCTGTGTATGTGGCTCGTGGTTGGTTAGAGTCTGGGGCTGGCGAGAACAGTGACAGCAAACTCTGGGGAGAGCACGGAGACAGACATCTCAGAATAGCCACGGAGGTGAGGACGCTTCTGTCCTGTGACCGTCTGTTGAAGGCCCCTGCTGCAGTTCCAGGCTGGGGTGTTCACTCCACGGGGACGAGTCTATGAGTGTCCCTCGGCCGCCTCTCCAGCCATAGGGGCCTGTTCAGCTGGCCAGAGAGGTAGCCAGGTGAGAGGGAGGGAGGCTTTGCACGGGCTCGCTTCTGCCATGTCATCGAGGCTGGTGTGATCCAACCTTGTGCTCCTGACTCCTCACCTGTCACCTGGATGCCCGGGGAGCAACCAGCTCCCCTGATGGCAGCTGCTTGTGGCCAACACCTTCCATTGAAGGAGGAGGCGGTGGCTCATCCCTGCAGAACAGACCGTTGTTCTAGATTTGGATTGGAGTAGAACTTGCCTCCATGGTATGACCCTCTGTGCCACCAGACCTGTGCTATCCAGACGCCGGTCCTGCCAGGCTGGTCGCCCACAGAACAAGCAGGTGGCCGAGGAACAACAGCCCAGGCCATCACAGGTGTCACCTATCACACATCACACATTCAAGGCCCTATAAAATGGGAAGGCTGGGACAGAACGGAGGCTCAGGAAAAAAAATGCAGGAACCTGAGTCCCAGGACATGCGGGTGGCAGATCAGCCAATCCCAGAACTACCTACTTCCAGATTCCTTAATAAATCCTTTCATCGTTCACTGCAACAATAAAAAATGTCAGCCAGGCACAGTGGCTTGCGCCTGTAATCCTAGCATTTTAGGAGGCCTAGTCAGGAGGATTGCTTGAGCCCAGGAGTTGGAAACCAACCTGGGAGACCCTGTCTCTACAAAATATCAAAATATTGGCCAGGTGTGGTGGCATGTACCTGTAGTTCCAGCTACTCGGGAGGTTGAGGCGAAAGGATCTCCTGAGCCCAGGAGGTTGAGGCTGTGGTGAGCCATGAGCATGCCACTGCACTCCAACCTGGGTGAGAGTGAGACTCCCAATTGAAAAATAAAAAAATAAATAGTGCTGTCCTCCTGCCCGTGGACATGCCAGCTCATAGTCCACCTGTGGCTCTCCCGTGGTCAGAAGGCACATGTGTGAGATGTAGTGCCCCAAGTGGTGCACTCGTCACCCAGAGCAAAGCTCGGCTGGCTTGGGGTTTTATACATGAGAGAGGACTGTTCCACCAAGAGACCTCACCCTGTTTTATCAACTGGCGGTGAAGACGGGCATGTGGCCCCTGGGACCCCTTGTGCGTTTGTGTGAACGGTGACACAGGCAGGAGCATGGCACTGGCCAGGATGCCCAGTCCTGATGTCCCTGGGGGATCAGGGCTGCCACTCAAAACTGCAGCGATTCCCGGGGGTGTCTCTTCAAACCACCACACCCACAGTCTCCACATCAGGCGCCAGCCTCCTTCACAGGTGGGACCCACAGAGCTCAGAGCTCTCTGGAATGAAGACCCCAGTTACCTCCCCTGGCCTGTCCCCTCACTGCTGAGATGCTGACCGCAGGCAAGGGAACATGGAGTGGATGGACAGAAGAGCTGCCATGGTCTGGGGATTAACTAGAGACACGGAGACTGAGTCCACTTTTTTGTTGCGTCTGCTACATAGCATGGCGAAATTTCCTGTCTTTCTTCTTCCTGACCCCGTGGTACTGTCCCCAGTGCTGTGGTGTTGGTTGTGGTCAATGGTGTGATGCAGTCCATTGCTTTTTTTTCCCCCCAAGTTGGAGTTTCACTCTGTCACCCAGGCTGGAGTGCAATGGCATGCTTTCGGCCACCACAGCCTCAACCTACTGGGCTCAGGAGATACTTCCGCCTCAGCCTTTGAAATCGCTGGAACCACAGATGCACGCCATCACACCCGGTTAATTTTTTGGTGTGTTGTAGAGACAAGGTCTCCAAGTTGTCCAGGTTGGTCCTGAACCCCTGGACTCAGGCAATCCTCTCGCCTCGGCCTCCCAAAGTGCTGGGATTACAGGCTGAGCCACCGCACCCGGCCTGCTTTTTAAATGTTGAGAGGACCAAAATGGAAGTGGAGGAGGGGATGTCCTGCCAGAGTGGCAGACCTGGGGCCGGATGCAGGATCAGAGCCCAGGACACAGGCCGACCCTCCATAAGGTGGAGTTGCTCCGTGGGCGGGAGGCTCTGTGTTTCTGCTTTGTTTTCTGAGTAGAGTGGGGAGAGGGTGTGTCGGGTGTTGGCTGCTGTCTTGGCTGCCCAGCATCTGAACCTCCCTCCCATTGGGCGAGCCCTTGTGCCGCTTCCCCTTCTGAAGGCCAAAACAGTCCAGATGATAGTCTTCTCAGGCCCTGGCCAAGGGCAAGCACATGCCTGTGCTTAGCCAATCAGAGGCTTCCCAGGGGACCCTCTCTTGGAGCGGGTTGCAAAGAAGCGGGTGCTTGTGGTGGGGGTGGCGTTCAGTGCCCAGAGCCTGTCATGGCATTCTTTTTAAATTTTTAAAAATTTTTTTGAGTTGGAGTCTCCGTCACCAAGGCTGGAGTGCAGTGGCACACTCATGGCCACCCCAGTGTCAACCTGCCGGGCACTGGCGATCCTTCCGCCTCAGCCTTCTAAGTAAGTAGCCAGAACTACAGGCACGTGCTATCACGCCCAGCTAATTATTTATTGTAGAGGTGAGGTCTTGCCAAGTTGCCTGGGCTGATCTCGAACCCGCGGGCTCAGGCAATCCACTCGCCTCAGCCTCCCCGGGTGCCATGGCATTCTAACGGGATGTCCCTATGACCTCCAAGTGGGTTCTCCAGCATCTTTCCAGAACATCCCTCTTCTGCCTGACTCATTCCCTCATGGGAGCTTTTCATCTGTAGCCAGCACCCTGTCGATGGTACTGAGGTTGTCTCCAAGTTTCTTTCCTACAAATAAGGCCGAGAGGAGAGTCTCGGTCACTCACCCCTGTGCACAAGGATATACAGAGGCAAGGTTCCTAACTCCTGCCACTCCTGCTCCCTGGGACCACCCTCCTCCCAGTGTCTGCAGTCTCCACACCCCAGGCCGGCCATGGCGTCACAGAGATCCTGACCCACCCAGTGGGTCCAGCCCGGATCCTGCCACCACAGCAACGCTGGGGATGACACAGCCCCACTTTGCAATCACTCTAGGCCTGACACCTACTTGCTACTGCCCTGTCCCCACTTGTCCATAGCTTCACAAGGACGGGGACTCTGCCTTCTCCCTGTCCCCCGGAGCCTGGCACACCCGGCCTCTGAACGCAGTACAGACCTGAAACGCTTCCGCATGAGCAAATGTGGGAGCCGCAGTGTGCCTTTAATGACCTCAGACCAGTGACGATAGCGGGCTGAGCGGCTGAAGAGGTGTGGGAGCCCCACGGTGGCCTGCCTTGTGTGGTAGACACCAGTTGAAAGCTACCAGTAATTTCTTTAAGCTCAGAGATCAGGGGAAGCAGGGGGACACCTGGCGGCCACTGTCGAAAGCAGCTGCAGTGCGGAAGGAGGCCCAGAAGGGAGCCCTCAGAGCCAGTCCTGGGCTGGGCCCGGTTCCTGGGTGGAGTCCCTTACCACCCTTGCCCCAGTCAGCCCCTGGGCCACGCTGCCTCATCATCGCCCGTGGAGTTGGTCAGGTAGAAGGGGCGGATGACCGCACGGAAGCCACTGAAGGACCCTGCTGGGCAGGGGAAGAAGGACGCGCTTCTGGAGCCGTTGGTGTCCAGGGCACTGGGGATGGCGGCCTTTGGGCCCTCGAAATTCGTGACGTCTGCCACGAAGCGCTCTCCACAGAGCATCAGGGCTTTGTTTTCATAGGTGATGGTGGGATCTGAGTAGTCAGACTTGGTGAGACCCAGGATAGGGAGCTCGTCCGAGGAGCACGAGAACCCGTAGTTCCAGCAGCTCTGGACAGTGGGGAGGTAGACCAGGGACCAGGACACGCTCTTGGCCTGGAAGAGGAAGCTGGGGTGTGGGGGGGTCTGGAAGGACTGGTAGGGGTTGTACTTGTAGCTGGAGGGACTGTAAGCAGATTTAACGAGAGAAGCCCTCTGTCTGGGCTGGTAGACCAGCTGCGGCACGCTACGGGAACCGGCTGTTACGGAAGCGCTCCAGGTGGGTGAGGTGTAAATGCGGGGCTTGTAGGTGTCCTCGGTGAGGTTCAGGCCTCTGTACTGGGCCAGCAGCTGGAAGGGTACGGTGTGGAATTCCAGGGCCTGCAGAATCTTCTTCTGGAACAGGGCCTCGTGACTCTGGTACAGGGACAGGTTGAACTGCAGCTCGAAGAGCTCCTCGGGCCGCATCATGGGGAAGCGGACCTTCTCCACCAGGCCTGCCGTCTCCTCGTGGGAGGCCCACTCCTCCCAGCTCCAGGTGTCCACGGCCTTCAGCAGGGCCAGCTCGCTGGGCACAGCCAGCTCACTCCTGCCGAGCAGCTGTTGGAGCAGGGACGTGGGGACGCTGGGCCAGGCCTCAGCCTGAGTCAGGGCTTCGAAGTTCCAGGCCAGGAATCGCACACAGAGCTCCTCCAGCAGGGAGTCCCCGGTGGCCAGCGCGTAGGCGTACAGGTCCAGGGACGTCTGGAAAGAAGCATCCTGGGGGAGGAGGATGGCGAAGAGGCTGGCGCAGTATCTCTGCAGCTGCTTGGCCTCATAGGCAGAGGCCAGCTTGTGGAAGCACTTGACCGATGACAGGGAGATGTCGATCCTTCGCGAGTAGAAATACCTGAGGAGGGAGGGTGAGAGCTGGCGCCTGCCCTGAGGGACAGCAGGGTGCCTGGGCCTGCCTTCTGACACAGCCATCCACTGCGCGGCAGGTCTGAGTGTGCGCAGACGTGTGAATGAGCGTGTGTGGGTGTGCGTGCAAGTGTGTGAACGTGGTCTGTATGCACATGTGCCTGCATATGAGTGTGTGTGCGCAGATGTGTGAGCGGGCATGTGTGAGTAGGTGTGCAAGTGTGTGTGGTGTGAGTGTGCACATGTGTATGAGTGTGTGTGAGTGGTGCGGTGAGTGGTGAGAGCACATGTGAGCGTGTGCATGAGTGTGTGTGGTGAGTGTGCATGTGTGTATGTGTATATGGGTGTGTGGCGTGAGTTTGAACATGTGCATGCGTATGAGTGTGAGTGGTGTGTGAGTGTGCACGTGTGCACACATGAGTATCTGTGGTGTGCAGATGTATGAGTGCATGTGGGTATGTGTGCAAGTGTATGTGGGTGTGTGGTGTGAGTGTGCACTTGTATGAGATTTGAGTGTGTGGGTGTGCAAATGTGTGTGTGTGTGTGTGCATGCATATGAGTGGGGGTGTACAGATATGTGAGTGGGCATTTGTATATGTGCAAGTTTGTGGTGTGAGTGTGCACACATGAGTATGCATGTGTGTGCATGTGTGTGTGTTCTTACAGTCTTGCTGCGACTGTGTCCTTACCCTGACCCGGGTTGGTGTCTTTTGGAGAGGAGAGGACAGGCTGGGCTTGGTGGCTCAGCCTGTCATCCCAGCACTTTGGGAGGCCGAGGTCAGTGGATTGCCTGAGCCTGCAGGTTTGAGATCAGCCCAGGCAACTTGGCGAGATCTTGGCTCTACAGTAAATCAAAAATTAGCCAGGCATGGTAGCACATGCCTGTAGTTCTAGCTACTTGAAAGGCTGAGGCAGAGGGATTGCCGGAGCACAGCAGGTCGACGCTGGGGTGGCCGTGAGTATGCCACTACACTCCAGCCTGGGCGACGGAGTGAGACTCCAACTTAAAAAAAAAAGAAAGAAAGAAAAGAAAAGAGGAGAAGACGGAGTCGCTGGGCACTCCCAGAGCTTGAGGATGAGGGTGGCTCACCTGAGAAAGTCTCTGACCATCGGCACACACTCAGCATCCACGTTCATAGTAATGCTGCTGCCTGGCTTCTTCCACAGGGCCTGGGCCTCGGGGTTGGTGGTCAGGATGAGTGTGTGGCCACAGAGGCCCAGGACGTCTTCCTCCTGTGCCCGCACCTTGATGGACAGGTCGCAGCCCTGCTGGCTGTCAAAGATCTGGCCCAACGCAGCAGACAGCTCCCCAGAGAGGTCGAGGGTATGGCTGCTCCTGGTTTCTAAGAAGCAGAAGAGATGTGGGCTATGTTAGGAGGCCAGGGCTCTGCCACTTGCTTGCTCTGTAGTCCTGAAAACTGTTGTCCTCTGGGGTCAGCGTCTTTGTCTTAAATTGCAGGATTAGTGCCTGCCCTCTCTACTCAGAAAGGCTCCTGGGAAGATGAAGGACAGGACAGACCGGAACGTATCTCACTCCTGGAAGACAAGGTGTTGTTGTCCTTGGTGGCCGCAAGGCCCCCTCCCCACTTCTGTGGAACGGGAGTGGCTGAGACCCTGGCCAGCCTCTTCTGGGTCCCCGTTTTGGCCCTCTGCTCTGCTCCCCAGATTCAGGTGCCACTTCCAGGTGGGGGACTTGGTGGTGCTGCCCTCCGAAACCCTCCACCCTCGCCTTCCAAACCCATCCATGCATCCGTCTCCACAGACGCCACCCTTCTAAAACAAACCACTATGACACAGTCCGAAAAGTTAGGGTCCTAGGGCAGCCCAATTTTAGAGTTTTGGGGCTCTCCAGCACCCTCCTGAGGGGTTGGGGCCTAGAGAAGTTATGAGAGGCTTTGGGGGGGATAGTGTGCAGTCCCCCCCTTCTCCATCCCCTCTCAAAACCTGTCTCAGAGTTAAATCCTACTGGTTCTTTCTTTGCCACAAATAATTTGAAGCAATTTTGATGCTTAAACAGGGTGGGCTTGGCCTTGATCCTTTTCACATCTGAGATGCACAGAACCTCCTAACAGCACCCCCCCTTCCCCCTGGATGCCCCTACTAGAGGCCGCTCTTGCTCTTCAACCTTGGCCCCTCAATGCCCCGCATGACCCAGGGCCGTCTCCTGTGGCCTTCCCCATCGTGAGACCCTCCAGCCAGGCTCTGCTCCAGCAGCTGGTCCATCCTGGGGGGAGCACAAGGGCTCCCTGGGATTTGATCTCTCCATGCCTCAGGGGGGCCCCGGCTCAGAGCAGAGGGCGGAGGGCAGGGAGTGCCCCAGACCCCGGGTGCCAACCCAGGAAGAACCACAATTGGCAGCAAGAGGGGCAAGAACAGCCATAAAACTCGACCCAGGGCCTCCAACGCTGGACACCCGTCTGCTGCTCACAAAAACACGATGCCGGCGATGAAGAAGGTCTCACGCTGGCCGGGAACAAGGCCCTCATCGGAGCACCTGTGAAGCAGCTCCAGCAAGGGCAGGGAAAGGTGTTCGGGACGAGAGCTCGTGGATGCCTGGGGCTTGAGAGCCCCTCTGTGCCGACGGGGAGGAGCGCCTGGGAAGTTCTGTGTGTACAGGTATCTGCTTCACGTGGGGGCATGTGCTGGGCGGGGCAGGGGGACAGGACCCCGGGCACGCCGGGGGCTCGGGATGAAGGTGCGCCCCGCTCACCGTTGGCGCAGACCACGCCGGCATCCTTCTCGTGCCTACAGTTGCTCTTTAGCCAGCCCAGGGATGTGCAGTTGGCCAGCGAGGGCTCCGCTCCTGTGCACTGGACCTCATCCAGCATGATGGGGCCTGATCCTGTGGGCACAGCAAAGGACAGAGGACAGGGAGCATGAGCTCAGAAAAAGCCTACGGGGCCGTTAGGGGAATGGTTGCCACGTTCCGCTCCCGCACGCACCACCAGTATGCAGGCCTGTCACCCGGCTTACTTGCAGTGGGTCTGGATTGATGATTGTGACGTCACACCACAGACTCAGCCTTCATTTCTTTTTTTTATTCTCTTCTGAGTTGGAGTCTCACTCCGTCACCCAGGCTGGAGTGCAGAGGCACGCTCGTGGCCACCCCAGCGTCGACCTGTTAGGCTTTGGCACTCCTTCCGCCTCAGCCTTCCAAGTAGCCGGAACTACAGGCATGTTCTACCATACCGACTAATTTTTCGATTTATTGTAGAGATGAGGTCTCACCATGTTGCCCAGGCTGTTGTCACGCCCATGGGCTCAGGCAATCCCTCACCTTAGCCTCCCAGAGTGCTGGGATTACAGGCTTGAGCCACCACGCCCGGCCCAGCTTTCATTCTTATTAAGTCTGATAGCTGCTTCAGAGACATCAAATGCATTCACCATAATTTGTGTGACTATCCTTGCGGCTGAATATTTGAATTATTTCTCTCTTTCCTGCCTTGTCCTCCCAAAAATCACAACCTCTGGGTCAGTGGAACTCTTTCTGCATACAGATTTTTTTTTTTTTTTTTGAGTCAGTCTCACTCTGTTGCCCAGGCTGGAGTGCAGTGGCATGCTCACGGCCACTGTAGCCTTGACCTGCTGGGCTCAGGTGATCCTTCTGTCTCAGCCTTCTAAGTAGATGGGAACTTTCAGGTGTATGCTACCACATCCAGCTAATTTTTTTGATTTATTGTAGAGATGAGGTCTTGCCAAGTTGTCCAGGCTGGTCTTGAACCCGTGGGCTCAGGCAATCCTTTTACCTTGGCCTCCCAAAGTGCCGGGGTTACAGGCTTGAGAGCATACAGATTTTTATTTTGAGGGGAGATTGTTTCAGGAAGATAAATACCCTGGAGTGGAGTTTCTGGGATACGGGACACTGACACAAGGAATTTTTTTTTTTTTGTTGTTGAGTTGAAGTCTCATTCTGTTGCCCAGACTGGAGTGCAGTGGCACGCTCCCAGTCACTGCAGCCTCGACCTGCCAGGCTCTGGCAATCCTTCCGCCTCAGCCTTCCAAGTAGCCAGAACTACAAGTGAGCACTACCATGCCTGGCTAATTTTTTATTTTTATTGTAGAGATGAGGTCTCACCAAGTTGCCCAGGCGGGCCTCGAACCCGCGGGCTCAGGCAATCTACTCGCTTCAGCCTCCCAAAGTGCTGGGATTACAGGCTGAGCCACCGAGCCCAGCCACAAGGAGGTTCTTGAGTCACCCGCCCAAGCACCTGCCACTGCCACCAGGACAGAGTGAGCCTCCTTATGAGTTCCATCAGAACTTGATTAGTGCGGGCTTCTGCGTCATTGGAAATGCCTGCTAAATGAGCAGGGACACACTTGCAGATCTCTGAAGACTGCCTCCCTGTCTTGGAGGATTTGGTGGCTGCAAGTCTGTCTCAGCCTTGAGACAGGACAGCAGGTCCTACCTTGCCCGAAGGCGGCTCTGCCCAGTGCCTCGGTGGCGTTCTCAAACCCTAGGGCCCGGCACACGACGCTGGCATCAGTCAGGTCCCACAGGTTGTCACACACAGTGCCCCACTGGCCTCTGTAGAAGATCTCCACGCGACCCTGGTAGGAGGCACCCCCATCAGCTAGCCGCATGTCACCATCATTCATGCCTGCAGGGGAAGATCAGCCGGGAGGAGGTGGGGGTTGGAGGGGGCATCGCAGCCTCCCCACTTCCAGGGTTATCCTGGTGGCAGTGAGGCTCTCCCCAACTAGATGTGGCCTGCTGAACTTGTTTCCAGCACTTCAAGGCCCCAGAACCCAGCCGTGAGGGGCCACCCATAGGCGAGGAGATGGGCATAGATCTCCCCACCCCTCAACAGGCTACACTCCCACCCTTGTCTCTGGGGTCTGAGCCCTTCACAAGCGGAGAAGGGGCAGAAGAGCCCTCGGTTCTCCAGCCCCTGGGAGTTGGGGGGCAGGACCCAGTGGAGGGATGGGGGAAGGGAAGCCCCCTGCTAGCCCCACTTGAGGGTATCTGCAGCTTGTAGGGCCTGCAGGCCAGGGACCCCTGGAAACACGAGCAGGACATTTCCAGGGGAGAGGATAGAGTTCCTGTCCCACACATATGCTCTGGGACTTGGCCCACAAGTGCCCCCACCCTGCCAGAGCTGTCAGGGACAGGCAGTACCCGAATTTAGGGTCATCTGTGCTAAACGGTGATAGTTGGGGGTACCTCTGGCCTCTGTGAGGTCATCAGCATGGGCAAGGGCTCACAACACAAAGTGTACGGGCAAAGGCAGCTGCGAGGGACCCTTTGGAAGCCTGACCTGTGTCCCAAGGTCACTGACCTCACGCCCCCTCAGCAACTGGCCGGTTTGATTGGCCCTTCTGGTTCCCACTGGACGGAATGGGGAATTCCTCCATGTCCTCTCCATAACCTGTGTCTCACCTGAGCCAAAGTGAGTTCCAATCCCCCCAGATCCTATGGGCCACCAGCACGCAGGACACCCAGGACTTCAACTGGAGAGAAGGCCCAGCTAAGTCCTGGGGCCCAGGCACAGACCAAGCAAGGGTGCAGCAGCATCCTAGACTCTTGCTTTTGGCCATTCTTGGTGCTCAACTTACCTTGTGTCCCTGTGACCAGCAGCCACATCCAGAAGAGCCATGGGAGGGCCATGGCCTTGCCTGGAGTTCCCAGCCCTGTAGCAGAGGGAGGTGGCAGAGTGAGATGAGCAAGTGACCAGAGGACCAGGGAATGGTCTGCCCTTCCATCCCTCAGCACGGCTCATAGGCAGCTGGCTGTGGGGGAGGCAGGGTTCCACTCCTACAGGGCCGACCACACCCTTGGACAAGTGTGATGGACACCATGGATGAGGAGGCCCCAATGCCATGGGTGCCCCCTACGGGGCCCTTCACCTGATCTGCAGGGTGGTCCTGGATGAGTAAGCCTCGGCCAGATGAAAGGCTAGGCTAGGGGTGTTCCAGCGGTGAATACGAGAATAGGAGCCCAGGGGCCAGTGAACCCTTGGGTGCCTGGGTGAGAGTGTCACGTGGGCAGCATGGGGAGGGCGAGGCCGGGGATGCAGGCCCAGGTGCAGAGGTCTGGTTAAGAATTGGGCCTTATCTTCAGGCAACAGACCCCTGTGGAGAGTGTCCCAGGGGTTTGTGGCAGACAAAGATGAGGCCCAGGGAGTAGAAGAGAGGGGACTCCTTGGGAGGAGGCCACAGAATCTAGGCCAACAGGGAGATAGGTCAGGGTTTGGCAGTGTTTGGATGGGGAAGATGAACAAAAGGGGTCAGTGCTGCAGCCCAGGTCTCTGTGCAGCTGCTTTTGGCCTGATGCTCTTGTCTCTGTGTAATTCGTGTGTGTGTGTGTATGTGTGTGTGTGTGTGTGTGTGTGTGTGTGTGTGTGAGAGAGAGAGAAAGAGAGAGGGAAAGAGGGAGAGAGAGACAGAGAGAGAGAGAGAGGGAGAGAGACATAGGGGTGTGAGGAGGGGGAGAGAGAGAGAGAGACAGGATCTCACTCTGTGGCCCAGGATGGAGTGCAGTAGTGCCATCATAGTTCACTATAACCTTGAACTCCTAAGCTCAAGCAATCCTCCTGCTTCAGACTCCTGAGTAGTTGGGACTACAGGTATGAGCCATCATACCCAGCTAATTTTTAATTTTTGTAGAGATAGGGTATGTTGCCCAGGCTGGTCTCGGACTCAGGCTGGTCTCAAACTTCTGACCTTAAGCGGTTCTCTGGCTTCTGCCTCCCAAAGCACTGGGATTACAGGTGTGAGCCATTGCACTCAGCCCAGAAAAGTTCTTCTTGTTTTTGTTTTTTTTCTTTCTCTCTGAGTTGGAGTCTCACCCTGTCGCCCAGGCTGGAGTGCAGTGGCACACTCACAGCCACCCCAGCGTCGACCTGCTGGGCCCTGGTGATCCTTCCGCCTCAGCCTTCCAAGTAGCCAGAATTACAGGCGCGTGCTACCAAGTCTGGCTAATTTTTTAATTTATTGTTGAGACGAGGTCTCGCCAAGTTGCCCGAGCTGGTCTCAGGCAATCCACTTGCCTCGGCCTCCCAAAGTGCTGGGATTACAGGCTGAGCCACCAAGCCTGGCCTTTTTTTTTTCTCTTGAGTTAGGATATCACTCTGTTACCCAGGCTGGAGTGCAGTGGCATGATCACAGTTTACTGCAGCCTCGACCTCTTGAGCTCAGGCAATCCTCCCTCCTCTCAGTTTCTTGAGTAGCTGGGACTATAGGCATGAGACACCACATGTGGCCGATTTTTTAAATTTTTTTTTTTTTTTTGTAGAGATGAGGTCTTATGCTATGTTTCCCAGGCTGGTCTCGAACTCCTGGGCTCAAGCAGTCCTCCTGCCTCAACTTCCCAAAGTGCTAGGATTATAGGTATGAGCCACCGCACCTGACCATTATGAAATTCTTGCTTGCTTTTTATCTTCATCTGCAGTGACCTGCCACCTCACCTGTTTCCTACTCACACCCTGCACGTGGAGAGCCAGTTACTGCTTCTCTGGCCTAGTAAGAATCCTGTAGCAGCCGGGCTTGGTGGCTCAGCCTATAATCCTAGCACTTTGGGAGGCCGAGACCAGTGGATCACCTGAGCCTGCAGGTTCAAGACCAGCAACTTGGAGAGATCTCATCTCTACAATAAATGAAAAATTAGCCCGGCACGGTAGCGCACACCTGTAGTTCTAGCTACTTGGAAGGCTGAGGCAGAAGGATCGCTGGAGCCAGCAGGTCGAGGCTGGGGTGGCCATGAGCATGCCACTGCACTCCAGCCTGGGTGATGGAGTGAGACTCTGACACACACACACACAAAAGAATCCTGTGGCATCTGTCACTACTCGCTGCAGCCCAGCAAGTAGGTGTCTCGGCTGCTGGATGGTGCTGATGTGAGCACCGGCTGCGAGTCAGGGCCTGGTGACATTGTGGCTGCATGCTGGTCCCTTGGGACTAAGAGGGGGTCCCAGTGGACGGGTCAATGGCATCCCCCAGAGCTTGTCAGAAGTGCAAAGTCATGACCTGGCCTCACCCCTCGCATCGGATTAGGAAGACCTTTGGGGGCCTGGGTGCATTGACTGGTGGGAAGCTTTGCTCCAGACACAGGAACCCCTTGAAAAGGCAGCTCATGCACCAGCTCAAGGCCTCATTGGGACCCTGGAGAACAACTTAGGAACCCCAATTTTATCAGAGACTAAGCTGAAGCCCAGAGAGGCAGAATGGCTCTGAGCCCACAACTGGTGAGCCGCAGATGGGGGGTCTATCAGCGGAGCCCCCTCTCTTCCTTGCATCCATTTCAGCAGATGGCCAAGGGCCAGAGTGACCACTGTCCTGTGTACCGGGTATTGTGCCTGTTTTAGTACTGGGAGTCCACGTCCTGGGAAGCTCTTCGGTTCTGAGCACACTGGGATGGCTGGTCACCCTCTCCACTTCCGCCACCTGCCACTTTCTTCTCCGCTGCAACCACCAGGTTTTTTCTCCCAGGGACAGGAATTCAGGGCCTTGGAAAAAATGGCCAACCAAGCACCCAGTGCACAGTATGCAAATGTCACTGCCCTGTGGGTGGCAGTAGCTGCCCGGTTTTTCCTGATCCCTTCATATGGGAAGTTGGGACAAGGCCACCTATGCTGGCCCATATGGTGCCTTTGTGCAAATTTGAAAAAGGCACTCTTCCTTGGAGTGGGTACAAACCCAGGCCAGAACGTAGACTTGAGAGAGGGTAGAGGGCTGAATTTTTTTTTTTTTTTTGAGTTGGAGTCTCACTCCCTCGCCCAGGCTGGAGTACAGTGGCACACTTATGGCAACTCCAGCATTGACCTGCTGGGCTCCGGCGATCCTTCCACCTCAGTCTTCCATGTAGCCAGAACTACAGGCGTGTGCTACCATGCCTGGTTAATTTTTGATTTATTGTAGAGACGAGGTCTCACCAAGTTGCCTGGCTGGTCTCAAACCTGCAGGCTCAGGCAATCCACTCACCTCGGCCTCCCAAAGTGCTAGAATTACAGGCTGAGCCACCGAGCCTGAACTTTTTTTTCTTTTTTGAGTCAGAGTCTCACTCTGTCACCCAGGCTGGAGTGCAGTAGTATGCTCACAGCCACCCCAGCATCTAACTGCTGGGCTCTGGTGATCCTTCAGCCTCAGCCTTCCAAGTAGCCAGAACTGCAGGCGTGCGCTACCACACCTGGCTAATTTTTGATTTATTGTAGAGACGAGGTCTCTCCAAGTTCCCCAGCGTGGTTTCGAACCCACAGGCTCAGGCAATCCACTCACCTCAGCCTGGCAAAGTGCTGGGATGACAGGCTGAGCCACTGAGCCCAGTCAGAGGGCTGAATTTTAACCTGCTTGCCCCTTTAGCTGGTGTCCTTGTGCAGTGAGCAACTTTCCCAACTGTGCAGAGACCCTGTGGATCTGGAAGCAGTCATGATGGGCCCTGGTTCAGGATCCTCAGATCCTCAGCTCCAGACCTAGATGCAAACATGGGAGCATGACCCCCACTTGATGGTGTAGAGAGGGGTGCCCACCTGGAAGCGAGACAAGGCGCTTACCTGCCAGAAGCGGCTACTGATGGGTGTCCTGGAGCCTCCTGCTTCCCTTGAGGACAAGTCCTTCAACCAGGAAGCCCTCCCAGTGCAGGCGTGTTCAGGCTGATCCAAGGGAATGATTCAGAAAACAGAGTCTAGTTTCGATTTCCAGAAACCACCTGACCTGGATTTCTTCTGGGGTTGGCTGCTGAGGGTGGTTCCTGGAGACCTGCTTCTTCCTCTCAGCTCTGTCCAAGGCATTGGGATCAGCTTGGCAGTGGCCCAAGGCAGCAGTCTTGGCTGTAGTGACATCAACAGAAAATGCATCCAGGCTGGCACAGAGACTGGGGGCTGGAATTTGGGGAGCAGAAAGGGAAGCAGGGGATGGTGTGGAGAAGCAGAGGCTCCGGGCCAGTCTGGACCCGGCTGGGTGACCATGGACTCCCAACGAGTGCCCACGGTCCTTTCCCGGGTCGAACAGGTGGATGGCAGGTTGGATCCTCCCAGGGCGGCTGTTCACGTGCAAGTGACACCTCTCTGAGCACATGACATGCTGATCTCACAGGGGGCTTGCACCTCCAAGGCTCTACAGCCCTCTCCCCAAAGAGGAGGAGCTCTTGAGATCCAGATGTGCAGCTGACCAGTCGAGGAGCTGGACTCGTGACCTCTGACCCCAGAGCCTGGTCACCACAGACCGTGCCATCTACCCTCACTGTGGTTGCTCTCCTAATGTCTTCCTCACAATGGGACAGGGGACAGAGCCTCTTTGGTGGACATAAGTGGCTCTGTCCAGCTCACATCCATTCCCTTTCCTCCCACAGAAAGCCACTGCCCCGATTTTCCTTTGAGGAGTACCCCTTCACTCCCAGCTGTGTGGTTCCCGGAGAGCCCCAGGCTTGTGGTGTCTGACTGACCCAAACCTGGTTGTCTGAGCCCTGCCAGCCACACAGATGGCTTTGGGGAAGGCCTGTGAGCCCAGCCAGCCCAGGGAGAGCCAATTTCAAAATGAGGGAGAAAGTGAACACTGCAGTAGAGGTTTGGCATGCCCAGCTGAGAATGCCTGTGGGCAGAGCAGTGAGGTGAAGTGACCGGCCCAGGTCAGGGTCAAGCCTTGAACTCCACAGCTCAGTGAGGCAATCTGCAGCCTTTCCTGTTTCTGTCACTTGCACCCCATGGTTCTGGACC